GTGCTCCCATAATTTGTTGAAATGATGCTACCCGCTTGTCGAAGTGGGTGCTCCCATAATTTGTTGAAATGATGCTACCCGCTTGTCGAAGTGGGTGCTCCCATAATTTGTTGAAATGATGCTACCCGCTTGTCGAAGTGGTTTTGATCCATTTGCTGAAGCGGTTGTGGTGGAATCCGGTACTCGTCAATTTTTGGGCATGTGGTGTTATTGGTATTTTCTGAAAGTTTATTCATTTGCTTTGCTTTCAGTGAAAAACTATCCATTTATGTTGAATAGAAGTCGAGATATTTGCGATTGAAGAAGCTGAGGTAGCCTGGTTTCAATGGTTAAATTAATGAAAAAATGGCGGCCAAAGTTTGGTAACTCCAATGGCTTAAGAGTCCTTGAAAACTGAAAATTACATATTTTGTGCCTTTAAACAGGGTTTTTCTGTAACATTTATATATGGAAATATGTTTTCAAATGAACATGAAAGGTGTTTAGCCAAAAAACAAAATTTTGATAGAAATTGCTAAACTGTTGGAAAAATGCCCTTTTCTTCCTTTTCAATATTTTGACGAGCGCGTGATTTCACCACGTTGCCTCACAATTATTATTTGCCGAAGAGGTGCACTAACATAGTATCCGGATTTTGCTAAAGCGACTCCTTGCCCAGCCCTAGTGTCAGCCTGTAAGGAGAAAGTGTGTGGCGTCGTGTATTGCCGGTTTGAAGCGTTGTGGAAGTTGTTGTATGGAGTACACTAGTGGGTGGTTGGTGGGTGCTCTGGTGTGGTTTGCTTCTTCTTTTTCTTTCCTATATAAAACATCTATCGTCTTTATCACCTCCTCTCCTTCTTTTTTGTGTTTGTTACTCTCTTGTAACACCTCTAATCTTCAGCACTTATATTATGACCTTATCGTGTCGCAAGTGCCGTAAAACACTTAGTACTAAAACGAGGGGTATAATAATTAATATTATTATATGGCGCTGGTTATTGACGAAATTTTTTTTTCAAACAAACAAACAAACTGACAGACAAAAACAAAACAAAACAACAAAGAAAACAAAACAACCCCCCAAAAACAAAAAAACAAAAAAACAGACAGACAAAAACAAAACAAAACAACAAAGAAAAAACAAA